CGGGGGTCCGGGGGTTCGCTCCGGTGTCGCCCCGGGGCGTGCGGGGATCGTTCTCACCCCGTTCTCGGTCCCGGGCTCCGTTCCTGTCCCGTTCTCGGTCCCGGGGTTCGGTATCGGTGCCGGTGCCGGGTCCGTTCTCACCCCGTTACCGTTCTCGGGCTCCGTTCCCGCCCCGTTCTCACCCCGTTCTCGGTCCCGTTTCCCGTTATCGGTGTCGGGTCCATTCCTGTCCCATCCCGTTCCCGTTTCCCGGTATCGGTGCCGGTTCCCGGGTCCGTTCTCACCCTGTTCCCGGTCCCGTTTCCCGTTCTCGGTCCCGGTGTTCTCTCTCGCCCCGTTCTCGGTCCCGGGGTTCGCCCCGCTATCGGTCCCGAGTTCCCGGTGTTCTCTCCCGCCCCATTCCCGGTCCCGGTTCCCGTTCTGGCCCCGTTCCCACCCCATTCTCACCCCGTTATCAGTCCCGGTGTTCGCCCCGTTTCCTGTTCTCGGTCCCGGTTCCCGGTGTTCTCTTCCCGTTCCCATTCCCATTCCCGTTCCCGTTCCTGCCCCATTCCCATTCCCGTTCCCGGTGTTTTTTTCCCGTTCCCGGTTCCGGTGAAATCCCCTCCCGGTCCCGTTTTTTTTCCCGTTCCCGGTTCCGGTGAAATCCCCTCCCGGTCCCGTTTTTTTTCCCGTTTCTCGGTCCCGTTCCCCGTTCCCGGTGTTCTCTCCCCGTTCCCATTCCCGGTTCCCGTTCCTGTTCCCGGTGTTCTTTCCCGTTCCCGGTTCCAGTGAAATCCCCTCCCGGTTCTCGGTCCCGGTCCCGGTTTTTTCCCCATTTCTCGGTTCCCGTTCCCGTTCCCGGTGTTCTCTCCCCGTTCCCGTTCCGGTGCAATCCCCTCCCGGTCCCTCCCGGGATTCCTCCCCCGATTTAATTTTTAACTTTCGGCCCCGGGGAGGGGAACCCGCGATCCGCGGGGGCTCCGCTCGGAGCCGCTGCTTCGCTTTCGTTTTCCTTTTCCTCCCTTTTTTTGTGACAGAAAAAGTGATTTTTATCAATTTTCCCCCCTTTTTTTTTGACAGAAAGAAGTGATTTTTACCCATTTCCCCATTTTTGTGACAGAATAAAGTGATTTTTTAAAAAATAATTTCCCCTCCATTTTTGTGGCAGAATAAAGTTACTTTTTTTATACATTTCCCCCCTTTTTGTGGCAGAATAAAGTGATTTTTATCAATTTTCCCCTTTTTTGTGACAGAAAAATGTGAC